GTTGCATTTGATTTTGATTACATGATTACAGATAGGACGTGAATTGTATAAGAGTCACATTGATTGTTTCAAAGAATTTGTTAGATATATTTTAACTACATGATAAAAATTACTTTTTGAAGTTTGTTAAATTTTTGAATAATTTTTGTCATTCTCTATTGATTTGCTATGTTACAGGTAGCAAGTAAGTTTTATGAACACCACATGGATTCTTTTATTCCATCATTTGTTATTAATTTTATTAATTTTGTTAATTTCTCTTTAGTAAATTGAGTTAAACTCAAATATTTCAATCAAGAAAACATAAAACTACTGTGAACGTTAACTATTTAATTAATCTAATATTGAAATTTAACATCAATAAACTCAATAATTGTTCTTGCAGAAATAATAAATTCACACAGGACTCTTCCCGAGTGGATTTTGAGACCAAGCTATCATTTTATGAAATAATTGCTTAAGTTCTTATTTTGGTAATTATTTTTATAAATTTATTTCTCATTACTTAATAGAATTACCTGGCAAACATTTTAATAAAGTAAACAAAATCTTATTTAATAGGAAAAGTGTTTTTATATTATATTTAAGTATATTATTTTTTATGATTTCATTTAGTGTTTTTTATTTATTACCCTATATTAAATTACTGACCTCTATTCTACATCAGCAACCTTGATTTTTTAAGATTTTTATAAAACAACTAGCTGACCCGGCGAACTTCGTATCGCCTAGTTATAGGTTTCCCCTAAGACAGACCGATGGAAAGAAAGTACCGTTACGTTTAATTTTCAAGATGATCTCGTTCGCATCGCTCAATCACGTCCTGGTTGAAGTTCGTTCGCTACGCTCACTCACCTTTGGGTTGGAGCTCGTTCGCTGCGCTCACTTGCCTATAGGTTGGAGCTCGTTCGCTACGCTAACTCGCCTCCAGATTAGCTCGTTCGCTACGCTCACTCGCCTCCAGGTTGAAGTTCGTTCGCTACGCTCACTCACCTTTTGGTTGCAAATTAGCTGTTGTCATAAATGTAAAAGAAATAATAGTGCTGCACCCTGTTGGTAATCCTTGTAACTTTAATGCTATTGAACATCATAGAACAGAACCAACTTGTTTAATTGAAACAGCTGTTAAGATTCATTAATTCCATTTCTCATAAGGTTAACATGGGAAACTCCAGAGCCACTGGGGCGGAGCCCTTTTAAGAATTTCGAAACGGGAAATAGTTTACGTCCGATTCGCATACCTACAGAATTTACACACCAAATTTCATAACGATCGGTGAAGTCGTTCCGGAGGAGTTTGCAGACAAACACTGTGACACGAGAATTTTATATATTAGATTTACCTTGAAATATTAATCTTACTAATATTATAAATCTGAAAGTTTGTGAGTTTGTGTGTATGTTTGTGTGTGTGTGTGTGTGTTGCTCAATCACGCATAAACTACTGGACGGATTGGGCTGAAATTTGGCATGATGATAGCTCAAATTCCCGATTAACATTAAAGCATATTCTTATCTCAAAAACCCTTTCGGGCTCCAGCCCAGCGGCTCTGTAGTTCCCCATGTTAATCTTATGATTTTTCATATTTAAAAGTAATTAATGAATCTTAACAGCTGTTTCAATTAAATAAGTTGGTTCTGTTCTATGATGTCCAATAGCATAAAATTTACAAGAATAACCAGCAGGGGGCAGCACTATTTTTTTTTTTTATTTATTTATGACAACAGCTAATTTCCAACCAAAAGGTGAGTGAGCGTAGCGAACGAACTTCAACCAGGACGTGAATGAGCCATGCGAATACTTATGAAGTTAAACGGGGCGAAGCCCGCGGGTACAGCTAGTATTTCAATAACTTTAACTGACCGAGATGAGTTAATTTAGAATGTTATTTCAACCTAGAAGTCTGAACTAATTAGTACAAACTTAGACAGTTATTACGCATTAATTATCAATCAGGTCCAATTACTAGATGTTCCGGTTTACAGGGTATTAATCAATATCTGCCTGTCCACAAAACACTGTGCTGTCAAATCTAACTGCCACCCCACACTAGCACAAATCTTGATTAAACTAATACATTTGGTGCTCTGGTTATAAAACCTCAGGTTATAAGTCATCTGGGATTGCGTCTGAAAAGTGGTTTTGGTTTTCTGAATCAAAGAAAATTCTTGTTACAAATAAAACACTAATAAATATAACATTTAGGCTATTTAATTGAATTTTTAAGTTGATGTTGTTAGAGAATAAAGAAATTATTATCATACCGTTTAAGGCATGTTTTCTGAAGGCTGTAATAAATTCATAGAACAAAATAACTTTACTTGTCATTATGTACCCCATTCACCACGATTAACCAATGTTAAGCTAGTGTATTTCCATCCGAGGCACTTTATATAAATATTGAACAATTTGTTTAGTTATATATGTACTAGCTGTTGTCTGTAGGCTTCGCCCGACATAATTTTGGTTTTTTTTACTACTGTACTAATACCACTGAAGTTGTGACTTCGCTACGAAACAACTTTTACAGGGCTACCAATAACAACATTGATTTGAATTCTTTTACCTTCATAGCAGACAGTTCTAGGAAGTTATTCTAGTCAAGCTGTAGCACATTATTGAAGAGACTGTAGTAAAAGGATACAACACATCATTGTGGAGATAAATAAAGGTATTAGTTTGTTTTGATATGAACAAAAATGTAAACAAAACATCTGATCAGCTGTTATGATTTTATTAGAGATCATAACAAAATCTTGGAATTGACTGAGTAAACAGGTTTGCTATTTATAACGATGCCGATCAAGAAACTATTTAATTTATATGCCAACTGTGATAACATTAAACAAAAACTATCAATGTTTTAAAACATTTTGGCTAATGGTTAATGCTAATAAGGTTTTAGAATATAACATTTCAAATGTTTTATGAGGTTGGAACCGGGTTTCATTTGGTGCGTATTTTGGCAGTAATAGCATGCGCAATAACTCTTCAAATGTAATCAAGTGCATTCTTTGATTACTTGCACAATATTTTAAGCCACTGTTTATTAATTTTAGTGTTTTTATTCAAGAAAATATGCTTTTATTTTCTCTAAATAAATGCAAAGTTTGGTTATCATGGGGTTACAATGGGAACTGCCTTTTTTTAAGGGGCAAACATGAGGAAAAAGTCATTTTTTATTTTAAACTGATTTTTCTTGTAAACTGTTTGAGATGGAAAAGAATTCTTGTCCTTATAAAATTGATTTTGTGGTACCGAGTACCCTTACTTCAACTTCTGGTTAGCATATCCAAAAAAATTTCCTAACACCAACATTCTATAAACCGTTAACACATTTTTATATGTTAACACAAACGTATAAATATAGAATTTTTAAAGCCCAAATCAGTGAATTTGTCACCATTGCCTCAGTATCCAACATAACCTATAAGAGTGGCTAAAACAAGCGTTACGCCTCATGTAATTATGTAAATGGCTTGACATCAAATGCTGACAAGCTTTATGTTACTGTGTCAACATTACTAATGTTTGTGGTACATTAACGTTGTAAGCATAATCAACCCAACTCTATTATCCATTACTTTCAGTTTATAAAGAAATGTAGAAATTTATAACATTTAATTTAACATTTGAGGATGGTGTTGTGGATGGATTGAAGATGTTAAGTGGTAATTATTCGGTGATGGACATTTTTAGTGTTTTAGTCAGCACAATTTTTTAAGTTCTTTTTAGATTCTTAACATTGTTCATTTATTTGTATTTTAATTACCTCATATGCCCAGCTCAAGAAATTCAATTTTAATCTACAGCTATACCATTCAAAACAAAAATCATTGTAACTTAGAGCCAATTTTGTTAAATAAAACTAAAATACCCACACATAAACTCATTTGTATTCAATTCTCCTCAATAGCTAGTTTATGGACAGACCACTAAAATATAGAATCATGGTCTGGTGACGACTGTGTCATCACTCACCAACGTTTCAGCATTGACTATATAACACTACGTAGTAACACTATATAACGTAGTGTTATATAGTCAATGGTTTCAGTCCCGATGCCAGAGTGCCATCCTCAAGACGACTTTACTCCTCACAGATGACAGAGACAAATCAAGCCTGATCTCGTTAGTTAATTAAACCAGCTGTCAAACATTTTAATTTCCAATGAGAAAACAAATAGAATGAGTTTTTTTTTTTCATTAATCAACTCAATACGGTACTGGAATTTAATATCAGTAATCACAATTAAGACTCAATATTATTTTAGATGATAAAATTTTTAAGTTAAAAAGGTAAATATTAAATTTGTCGAGATTTCAACCTAGGTGTCAGATCTAGTTGGTTACAAGTTACAACTGAGACAGTTATTACCAACAACTCAGGTCCAATTACTAGATGTTCGGCTGAAGCTAGGCTTTACAGGATATTAATCAATATCTGCCTGTCCACACAACATTGTGCTGTCAAATCTAACTGCCACACCACACTAGCACAGCACAAATCTTAATTAAACTAATACATTTGGTGCTCTATATTTTACAAAACCTCAGTTTTTTTTGTCATTGGGAATTGTGATAGGTAAAACTCATGATTAAAAAAGTAAATATTAGCCTATATGAATATAACATTGACTAACGTTTGAGGGAAACTATTTTTTTCTTAATGGGATGTTGTGCAAAACATTCCTTAACTTAGGTAAAAGTTATTTTAATAAGGATTAAACGTGACATTTTTAAGGAGATATTGTAAAAATCCAATCAGGCAAATGAAAATTAGTTTAGTCTGTAGGTTTGCAGCGGGAGTATTTATATTTTATCAAGACTTTTTATTTTGCAACTGTTCAGTATACGTGGCATTGTTAATTATGTTTGAAACTAACAAACCCAGTGCAAGATGGATTATAAAATTCAAGCTTTAAGTTTAACTCACCCTAACACAAACTCACTTGAACGTAAATTATGATTAAAACAACAGGCAGAATTCAAATCTAAATATACAATAATTTATTTATTTAACTTTAAACAAATACATTTTCCCTTGGCAGGGCAGAGTTTCACCAGGGGATATATACAACACGTTGTCTTGGGACAACAAGAGTGAAGCTAACTCGCTCGTCTAACCGTTGACTTATCGTCTGTACCACATCTGCAGTGTGGACATGCGTTTGATCTTCTTTTGCAGCTGAAGAACCCCGTACAAAAGGGCTTCAGCGGTTGGCGGACATCCTACAGTGAAAGCAACAGAAATGTTGGCAAACTGGTTTCATGATCTTTTTAAAGTGATATTCTTAAATAGTTAACATCTTACAGAGTATCTTAGAGAATATCTTAAAGGTACAAATAAAGAACTAACTGTTAGCCAGGTTGATGATAATGACTACAATCAGAGCTGACGTCAGGCACGTAGGCAGGGTGCGCCTCGGAGGCACCGTGCTTATGACATAAATTTTTAAAATAGGATTAGATTTTTATGGGGCAAAATATAACAAAATTCGAAAGTAACAAGTCATTACCATTTTACAAAAAATCATTGAAAAATAATCTTTTGTTTAAAAAATGACAGCCGTTTTATTTTTATAGGCTAACTTAAATTACAAAACGATAGCTGATTTTATGAATAACATCAAAACCATTGGTGGGTTAGTGTACATCAAATTTATCTACACATTTTTAAGTATGCAAAACAATGCATGTTTTGATTGGCTTTTTCAAATATAGAAGTTAACTTTGAGTTATTTTCGTCAAATTAATTTTACTAGGAGAAACCCGTCGAAATCGACAGTTAGGGGCCTCTTCGTTTATATATGGGCGTGCAGCTTCATTGGCAACAAATAATGCAAATAAATTACAGAGCAAAGAAAGTGGCATTTCCAAAAAGAAAGAATACTGTAAATTGGCTGTTACGTAAATATTAATGTTAAAATGCATTGTTAATCAACGTATCGTATAAAGGATGATGTGGTCTAGTTTAAAAGGAATATGACCTTTCTGTCATTACAGTAGCTGATCAAATAGTATTTACTCATTGGGCCATTTTTTACAGCCAAAATGTCGTGTTATTTTCAAAAATGCTACCAACCCAGTGGGCCATGGTCCGTAATATAGGCCACTGCAAATAATTTGTCAAAGATAGGTACCGGTACCATTCTAGGCAAGGTTTCTTTCTGTGTTCGGATGTTATTAGACACGATAAGAGCTCATCAATTTTTAAATCAGTAAATAAAATTGCAAATAGGTACTTCTTTTAGACAATTCAATAGCTCCCAATAAACGTGTGTTGTTTAAAATACAATTTAAGAATTAACAGCTGTTTAATTCAAAAGTATTATCCACATGATGAAAATGTAAACAAATCTGTGGAGGGATCTTTAAAGGCTTCTGGGGCAGAGCCCTAACGGGATTCACCTCGTGTTTCTTTTTGTAACTCATCTAGAGACCAATACCTTTCTTTGGACACCTCTACCAAGTTTCTACGCCCAGTCGTTCTCTCAAATTAGTGGAGACAAAGTTTCCAATTAAATATTTAGATTTCCCCATGTTAATCTTATGGGAGAAAATCCAACTTTGATGGAAGATCCTGCCCAAACTAATAAAAATTTCAAAAAATTAAAAAGACTTTGCAAAACTACAGATCAGGGCCATTCTTTTGACACTTTAATTATCAAAATCGGTCCAAAAATGAGGGAGGAGTTCTGTTTACAAAAATTGGCTTAGCGTATTATATATATAGATTTTTGAGGAAGGTTCATCAGGAGATACTACTTCAACCCCCTGGAAAACATTTAAATGGGATAACTGGCATACCATGAAATACAAACCTCCAATGGCTTTTATATAAAGACCTATAGAAATTTTTTTTGTCTTGGGTTTTTAGTACCTATTTGTACTATATATTTCAAGTATGAACTTAAAAGCCAAAATACATGTAAAGTAAATAATTCTTCGTATTAAAAATGACTAATAGCAAAATATATATGACCCATATGTAATTGATAAAACATAAAGAAGTTTAGAAAAATTGCTACAACATTTCATCCATGTCTTGTAAGAATTTCCCCATACATTAGATAATTTAAATTGTATGTTTTGTAGTTCACTGTTTGTACTCACCAGGAACGTAAATGTCTACAGGTATGATTCTGTCACAACCCCTCACTACGGAGTAGGAGTAGTGGTAGTAACCTCCTCCATTGGCACAGCTACCCATGGAGATCACCCAACGGGGCTCAGGCATCTGGGAAAATATATAAACTTAGGACTTTGTTTTCTACAACTTCTTCACACTACAGCATACTTGTGTTGGGCAACTATGCAGGTAGGTACTTTTATAGTACTCACTGACACCAGGTGCATATTTCATTTTTGATAAACCCCTGAAATCTTTGTGAATAGGTATGCAGGGCCACCAAACCCGTTCCTCTCACACCAAAGTCCACTAAGCAAGCAACACAACCCCATTTTGCCAAACTTGTACAACTAGCAAGCAGAGTGTTTTTTTCATTCGAGAGAAATCAACAATTTTATCACACAAATTACACATTATAGGCTGTTTTTTCTTAAGTTTTGGTGAGTGAAAATTTAAAAATATGTGCTCAACAATTATACTTACAACATTAAGGTTAGGGTATTTTGAGGCTGAGCTGAATTACTGAGGCAGTAGGATTAACATTGTTTGGCAAATTAGAAATACCCTCCATTTACGTTCCGAAACTTTGTACTATCAGTTGAGATTTTTTTATAACTAATTCTAAAACAATACCTGATCATAAACTTTGCGCAGGGCAGGAGCCATTTTGTTGGTGAGCGTGCCGGCCACAATGATACAGTCAGCCTGTCGTGGGGAGGCTCGGAACACAACGCCATACCTGTCCATGTCGTAACGTGGTGCAGCAATGTGCATCATCTCTACGGCACAGCACGCCAGGCCGAACGTCAGGGGCCAGATAGATCCCTGGTGAAGGAAAAATGAAATTAGAAAAACTTGTAGGCCTACATCACAATGATCTACATACACATTACTTAAGACTAGGCCTAGAGGGTTACAGCATCATCTAGCCCAAACCATTTGTGATTGGTGGGATTTGAACCCAAGACCTTGGGGAATAAAGTTCTGCACTCTTCCACCACACCAGTTAGCTCCATTCATAAACAGCATGCAGATTCAAAATAGATTCGAATACCCTGCGATGAGCAAATAAGTTAGGGCTACATAAAGAAGTCAAATGCACTGTAATACTTTTACAAGGGTGCTTACGACAGTTGGCGCTTACTCAAATAAAAATTTACATGATGATTCTAATGGTGTTAAAAGCAGTTATAACCAAAACTATCTTGATCGTAATTCCTGTAGGCCTACTGCATATGAACTTGGAATGGACAATGGAGAAGGACTTAACCTGTAGCCTTGGCAATTTCTTCTGAAGCTTCAACAGCTTTGGAATTGCTTATTTATGATTGGCTGTCAGGTAACACTAGACAATTAACAATAATAATTCTGTCTGGTTTGCCCTCATGTCTCCCACAGACTTCAGGCTTCCTTGTCTAATTCTAAATATAATCTTTCTTACCAACCCTGACTCTCCTTCACCCTTTACTTTTCAGGTATATCTACCGTCCTATCAAAAATCCTTAAAAAGGATAATGGCCCTAGCTGGTAACAATTTGTTTGCCAACAATTTGTTTGCTGGTAACAATTATTTTGATGTTGCTTTTGTACTAACTGACAACCTAAAGGAAAGAGGGCTGCATTCATGCTAATAAATCAGAAAAACCATATAATGCTTCATCTTTCTATTTATATTAGTTTGTAAGGTGAAGGTTTTGGTAAATCAGCTGTTTCAGTTGCGTTTACATCACATGTTAACTTCGGGCAAAGTGAGCAAGCTAGGCACTTTTTCCCACACAGAAGAACCCCTCATATCTGACCTCGGCATAACCGACTCCTTGGGATATTTGACCTAGTGCCCCAAAGCAGAACAACGAGCGACGCTGCGACATTGTCGCGGACACGAAACGCCGAGAAACGCGGGCCTGTGGACACATTTACGGAGTCATAACGACGATCGCGCCGTGGCCGCGATTATTGGACCGACGATCGCACCGTGACCGCGATTATTGGACCGACGATCGCACCGTGACCGCGAGTCATAACGACGATCGGGCTGTGACCACGGAGTCATACCGACAGTCGCGCCGTGACCGCGGAGTCATACCGACGATCACGCCATGACCGCGAGTCATACCGACGATCGCGCCGTGACCGCGGAGTCCTACCGACGATCACGCCGTGACCGCGGAGTCATACTGACGATCATGCCGTGGTGGCGGAGTCATGCTGACGATCGAGCCGTGACCGCGAGTCATACCGACAATCGCGCCGTGACCGCGAGTCATGACGACGATCACACCGTGACCGTGGAGTCATACCGATGATAACCCCGTGACCGCGGAGTCATACCGACGATAACCCCGTGACCGCGGAGTCCTACCGACGATCGCGCCGTGACCGCAGAGTCCTACCGATGATCGCGCCGTGACCGCGGAGTCATACTGACGATCATGCCGTGATGGCGGAGTCATGCTGACGATCGAGCCGTGACCGCGAGTCATACCGACGATCGCGCCGTGACCGCGAGTCATACCGACGATCGCGCCGTGACCGTGGAGTCATACCGACGATAACCCCGTGACCGCGGAGTCATACCGACGATCGCGCCGTGACCGCGAGTCATGACGACGATCGCGCCGTGACCGTGAGTTCTACAGACGATCACCCCGTGACCCGCGAGTCACAAGTTTCTATAGGTACCTGTAAATTATTACCCATTTTTTGGTTTTTATAGATCAGTGCCACAAATGGTAAAAATTGATTTCGTAAGTCTTTTTTGGTAACTGCAATACAGTACTTTTTTTATGCACAGAAAAAAATCCTGTCCCATCCCGTCCCGAAAATCGGGAAGGAAATAAAAATCCCGTCCCGTCCCGTCCCGAACTAAAATTTCAATTCCTAGTGTGTTTATATTAAGAAACTATAGTAGCCTACATTTAAAGTTTTACTTCTGAAGACCTTGTTAACACTTGTTAAGGTATGTGTATAAATATAGGTATTTAAAAAAAAGGAAATTTAAATAACCTGATTATGCCTACCCCTTAATAGTTTTTTAGTTTTTTGTTTTAAAAGTAGGCTATACAAGTTATTGAAATTTACTTATTTTATTTAACTATATTACTAGTAGCCCTAAAGAGTGAATATATATATATATATATATATATATATATATACCGGTATATAAGTCATTATTTAGCTTTTTAGTTTTAGCGCTTGCGGACACATTTTGAGGTTTTCACAGGCCGTTGCAGACACGTAGGAACCATTCTGCTTTGGGGACCTAGTGTCCGTCTACTTATTACCTACCTGATAGGTGATAGCACCGATATTGTTTGGTTAACCAAAAGGCTTAAGTTGTGTTAATCACAGCAGACAAATACCAATGTCACAGAGACTGCAAGATATTCTCACGGCTTTTATCGATCGAGATCGCGGGAGACGATTACTGCTGTCGGATATATCGCAAGTGATGGACTTACGAGTGTTGCCATGGTCACAGGAGATGATTACCAGTGTCGCCAAGACTGCAAGATATACTCCTCCCGATATCCAACCTTTGAACCGTTCCGACCATACCCCGATCCCATCATTATTGGATACGAGGGGTTCTACTACTACTGTATTGTCAGACAATAATTATTGTTTTTCATGAGATTTACGCCATTTACTTAGGTAGGCTACTCTTTAAACCTCATGTTACAACTATTGTTTAAAGTAGGCCTACCTAACAAAATAGCCTTATTTTAAATGTATAAACTTACCTTTCTTCCCCAGTTGACAATGTCATCAAGTCGAGCTAAGGCAAACTCTGCCCAGCTACCGTCAGTTTTGAATGGTGAGTACGGTCGTATTGCTGGTTTGTCTGCAAATAGTACATCCTGGGTTAAGATAACAAAACAGATCCAAGCAAGAATTGAGTAAACGATAAGTAGGCCTACAATAGATTTGCCTTGGGTTTTTAAATATTTTCATGAGCGTAATAAGTTTTAGTATGTCATATAGGAGTACAAAAGGTAATGGAATTGTAAGGCTGGGCTAGTTTTAATTCATGATCATCACCTTTAAAGCAGTATTTTATAATACCTAATTAAATAATTGTTAGAAATGCACTAGAATTAAATAAAATTAGCCTATATTGAACAACACAATAACCTAATCATTAACTCTACAAAAAGCAGTAGGCTAGTAAATTATTGTTAAATTTTAAAGCACGAGAAGTAGCAAGGACCTAAAACCATAATGGTTGAACTTAATTTTACCATGTGAAAATAGGCACATCAACTGATCAACATACAGTCAAATATTTATTAAATCAGAAATATGGTACTAATAGAAAGTGCTGACAAATTAAGGCACTATATCGTGTCATAAGGTAGTAATAGGCAAGTAACTTACACTACGAAAACCAACACTTTAACACCAACAGATGAAGGAGGGGAAAGTGGCAAGTAGTGACGTGACGAGTTGATACCGAATCGGCGATGCTCGTGTACTATTACTTGTACAAGCTTAAGTTTACTAGAACCGCCGCTAGTGCCTTAGTTGGGTTCATTTTATACTCGTCAATTCAAGTGGAGATGTTGTTCCAGATTTTGCTACTACGAGTTGACAGTGCTCGTGTGCTTGACAGTTTGCAATATACACTGTGGACTGTTTAAGTTAGTTTCAAAACCATCCGCTAAGAGTAGATAGGTAGTGCTCGACCAAGTAAATGGCTTACTCTACTCAAGATGTAAATATAAAATATCATAAATAAATACCATAAATATCAACTCAATCTGATGAATAACCAATCTCACTCTCATCTTAAATCTACACAGAGTATAAAACAAGTCCAAGTCCCGTCTGGTACAAAACTGTGACTCAATTACAGCGACTCGAGACTAGAATCATTACCAGAATTCGCCAAAGCGACTCGACTGCTGCAAGTTAACAATAGAGCTTTGGTACTGTACCGGTACAGTTAAGTATCGGTTCCAATACTCGAGTAGGCATGGAATCAAGTAGTAGCAGTGTATTGAGTCAAATTTACTCAAGTCGGGAAAGTACTTGACTCGTCACATCACTAGTGGCAAGTATGATATTTCTTGATGAACGGGCAAAAATTATGGCCACGACTAGCACTGTCAACACCAAGAAATAAAATAAGTTCCAATCTTTTCTTTCAGCAAGCTATAACACATCAAGAGGGTTTATTTTTATTTTTTGTCCTAGGACGCTAGGCACGAGCCTGGGATTGTTTTTCACATTACTTCAGGCTAGACCCAGGGGTTGCGGCATTATCTCGCTAAAGCTAAAGATCACTTGCATTAAATTAGGCTAATCATTTCATCATGGTAATAGGCTACATCTAAAACCTGTCAAGTAACTTGGTGTACAAAGCGCAAGTGTTTGGTTTCTGACATATGACTATAAAGTCATATGGTTTTTAACTATTATTATATTGTTTTTGTAAACAAACTTACTAGTAAACAAACTAACTTGTAGTTCATTAAATGGAATTCTTCATCTAAAGATTTAGTTTTATTTTAAAACAAGAAACAGGCAGCCAGCTACAGTCGTAAGAAAAGGTCCAGAGCCAAGATCATACCTTATAGAAACTCCAGATGGGAATATTTATCGAAGGAACACTTGGTTTTTGAAGAAACGTTTTTGTGCCGTTGAAGAACCGGCAGAAGAAAGTAAAGTGAACGGAAGTAAAGCTGGAAATGGAGTTAAAGATGTAGATAGTAGAAAGTCATCACGAAGAGGAAATCCTCCCAAAAGACTTGACTTATAAGTGAAGAAGGGAGATGACATATGACTATAAGGTCATATGGTTGTTAACTATTATTATATTGTTTTTGTAAACAAACTTACTAGTAAACAAACTAACTTGTAGTCCATTAAATGGAATTCTTCATCTAAAGATTTAGTTTTATTTTAAAACAAGAACCAGTTTCCTTTACCTTTTCCCTCCTGTTTAGGTGCGACTTCTGTTGACTGCTTCCTGACCGCCGCAAAGGACATAGCTCCATTTTGCTGCAACAGCTTACTTACATTTTGAGCTGCTGGCAACACTGTAAGTTCGAAAATCAAATCAATTACTGTTTTAGTAAAATCAAACTAACTTAAATGAACAACTTTAAATGTAAGTTAGGATTGGCTGAATGTTGTACTACCATACTAAAAGTCTCATAAGTTAGGATTTTAAATATCTCTATAGGTAACATGAAGTTTTCGGTTATTTTTATGTTTCACAGCCTAAAAAACATCAAATGAGTCTATCACAATTTTTGTCCACCTATCATTGTGTCTTTGACGCCAAAATGCCAATTTGAGCTGCTGCTCCAAGAAAAATAAGTTACGGTAGGCCTTATAAAAAAAAAAAGGTTATTACTTATGGATTCAATCGATTAAGTTAGGGTAGGCCTAACTTGCCAAACTTAGAAAACTAGCTTAAGTTAAATCTAAACTTTCTAGGCCTACAACGAATGTAAAAATCTATAATACAGTGGAGTCGGAGGCTTATCAAGTTTTGCCAGATACATGCCTAGGCTAGCTTTAAAGTGACACTAGTTGCTCTACCCGTGCTTCGCTACGGGGTGAGAATACAGAAAAGAATAGTTCGGTTTTACTTTGAGATACTATAATATACTATAAGAAACAGTTACAACACACTTACCAGGAAACATATAGGCAAAGGCTCAATCGTGCTTATTGATTATTCAAATGAAGATCTCTCAATGTATTACAATACTATAATTTTATATAGTGTATAGCATTTAAAATATATATGCTAAAGTATAATCATAGACTAACCAACACAAGTAGACTTCTCATCCCATTGTAAATTTTGAAGCACGTTTTTCGTGTCTAGTTCATGTACGTGACACATGGGCGATAGTGTCGACGAAACTTTGTTTCTATTATTTTAGGGTTAATTTCTTGATTTGTGCTTTACTGTTTGGTTATATAACTAGGGGACAAGTTATTGTTTATGATTAGATCGTATTATTTGGTTAAACGAGGTTTTAAATGGCTGTAATAACGGGAAACAAATTGTAAACAAAACACGACATCTGCAGAAAACCGTACAGAACTAACAATAAAATTGTCTTCAGCTGTTCCATAAGGATGAGAAATCTACTAAGGGAGTATGTTTTATCTATGGTATAATTCATTAACCACATGGCACCAAGAAACAATTCTCCTTGTAAACAAATTAAATTAAATAGCAGAACAGCATTTCTGTCAACAGCTGGAGTTTCATAACAATGTTTGTTTCCCATGTTAATCTTTTGAAGAAATATGAAACTTTAAAGGGCCCCAGAGCCTCATTCTTTAATTATTTAGCTAAAAAGAAAGTTTCCTGCACAAAAAAATAAATAAATAAAAATGCCTTTATTTGCGAGCGTCTTTCAGTACAAGAACTGTTTTACAAAGTAACTCATGTCAATATAACTTCACATTACGCTCTTTCCAATGACACCAAAATCATGTCAATCGGTTCAGTAGTTTCGGAGGAGTAATTGTCACAAAAAACTTGCTTGCGTATTAAATAAGTATAGATTAAATTACGGTAACTTAATGTAAATGTTGATTCAACTTATGTAGGCCTTACCTAAAATTGTTATGAATAGTTCAAACTATAAGTTAGGGTCTTCTTAAGAAGACTCTTTGGATAAAGTTAATATTTCATCTGATAATATAGGTATCACAGGTTTTCTGCGAATCTGTAAGTTAGGCCTAGGCCTACCACAAAATTATTAGAAAACATAGGCTTAATTCAACCAAAAGGTAGGCCTAGCCTATATGCAAAGCTATTTTAAAGTTAGGAAAGAATTTAAAATATTCACTTTCCTGAATGGGGGATATAAATATTAGGTATATTTTTACGAGGTTTTAAAGATTTGGATGTTTTGGCCATATCGCAGCATTTAGGACAGGAACAATCCAAAATTCAAAAAAGAGTTCTAGCAACCTAGATTCATTTTCTTGATTCAGGCCTAATTGAAAATATTATTATGGTTAGCAATAAACTCACTGTTCTTGGCTGAAGAGAGCATGATGATATTTTCCAATGTAGAAATTATTAAAACAACACTCTTATGTAAGGTCAATTGAAATAACACCTAACCTCCCCACGTCCCAATCCCAATCCCAATAATATTTAGGAAAAACATACAAAGAAAATAAACCGAACCAACTCTCAGCAGGCAGCAGACTGAAGACAGTTGAGTGAAGATAGTTTACTTCAGTGCAATGGTTTTATCTGTGGTAATATATTAATGTATAAATAACAAAACTATTTAAACGAATTTATTGCATACTTTTATTTTGAAACATAATGATAGATTTTAAGCAACGAAATGTTTGTTAATTGTTACATTGGAAATAATAACGGTGACTTTGGAGGGACATAATCTTGAAGAGGCAAATGAAATGGGTACTGTATATTGCACTGGATTCATTTTTCCTCTACTCGAGAACAAGTTTGGACTTTATTATACTGCGTAATTTGCACACAGGTCCCCTCTTAATCCTTTAAATAATATAAACTCACCATTAACATAATGAACATCAAAGAAAGAATATCATAGATCATACAAACATACCATAATGTCCTACTACCGTGGGCCCAGCCCGTCCTACGCACGGGAATCAAGTAGTCAGTCAGTAGTTAAAACGCGGTAAATAATTAAGAACAGCTAGTTTACAATACATTGTGTATAAAGGCAAATTCTGTCAATTTTAATGGGGTAAATCAAAATCACCTTGTAAACAAATGTCACGTGGCCAATTTTCATCCCATTGTAGGCGTATACGGTATGCATTTAAAATCCAATAATAATAATTTTATAACAAAACAGCGACTTTGTCGATGTAAAAACTATGAAGTGAGATTGGCGACTGATTTTCACACTGGTTATAAATTAACTTAAATTTACTGGAACTTCCATGCGATCGCGGGGAGCACGTAAACATCTCCCGCGCTCACAGAAGTATAACTATCGTCACCAATGATCGATTGGATTGTTAATTTTTATTAAAAAGTTTCATTTTCGTCTAAAAAGTTTGTATTATCATTGGCTATATATACAAAAGGCCACGCCCTAGTGGTAAATCTGACCCTGTCTAAGTATGGTCATCTACCTCGAGGTTCTCCTCGGAATACAGTTTTAACTATTTTCACTCCTCCACACATGACTTTCCCATCTTCGCCATTACTTTTGGGCAGTGCCACTGTTCTTTCATATCCTCCAACCTTGTTAGACTATGTTTTTCAGCACTCTATTTTCAAACCCAGCAATAAGGTTATTTTCTGTTCTTTGGTTAATGCCTACCTCATAGGTAACTATGCACCAATGCATATCAGCTGATCGGAAATTAAGTAAAGAAAACTTTGATACCAACGTGTAAGCATTGATACCCCCTATGGTGTAAGCTGTGTGTAAGCTTACTCTGCCGTTAAAACGTGTGTCCCGGTGTTTTTTTAATTTTATTTTTTTATATTATATTAATCATCACTTATGCTTTTATGTTTGTTACCTTTTTATTGTTGACTACACAAGTCTATTTTATATTAGGGTAATTTATTTACATTTGCTTTTATTTATGTTTACAATCCTAGAGTACATAGGCAATAGCTTACAAATATATGATGGTTAATTGTAGTTTAAAATCTAAAGTTGGCAAAATATACTACAACAACACAACTAACAAATTGTTTTCTTCAGAAACCGGGTGTAATATAGGCAATCTTCATCATTTTGTTACCTCTCAAAACGACTTTTCTAGCTACAGTATATATTAAACTGACCCACCACATCCGTCCTTAATTAGTTTAAAGTTGTTTCTTAAGTATTGGGTTTCGGAATTGCAATATCCTTCTACTGTATCACTCTATATAAAACGTTGGAGTGGTTTAATCTAACAGAGTTCATGTGTTTGTAAAGTTGATCAACAATAATTTGCCAAACAACGATTATTCCCTGAAGATGAATCCTGTAATTTCTGAAATCTTATAAACGATTCTGTAGCTGCAATTCCTCCCTAGGCTGGCGAATGTTCGAGTGTAGTGCAATGTTAATTGTTTCTCTGCATTAATGCATCGCACAGCTTGAGTTTGAAGAGCACTTCAAGCATACCCCGTGCGAGAAATCGTTTTAATTGAATTCCATTTCCATGCGATCTCGATGAGTGCGCATTTGTGTAGGCCTACTGTATCAACTTATATACAGGGCCCAGGATATGTTACTAGTGAAAATTGTAAAATGCCGCTCTCGTGTTAAAGTACAGGAACATGTGTTTACTTGACAGTAATTAAAATGCAAACAGAGGTATTTCTTGTTTCTAAAAAAATAAACTTGATCGTTTGAATAGTAAAATAGCATCTAACAATTAATTTGAAAAGCGCTATGAATTAATGGATACTGATAAAAGGGTTTTGTCAACAAACTCCCAATTGAGCCCAATATTTGAATTTGGACGGATGGTGTTTTGGCCACTATATGGAGACCTTAAAAAGAAAAATGTAAATCGGCCCCGGGTCCAGGTCTCAATATGGGACCTACGATAATAGCTCGAATTAAAACAGAAACTGTATGGATCATAAACATAAACAAACTACGTCACTGGTCCAAATGTCTTTACTAATATCCGTAACATCTGATTTGGCAGTGAGCCCCAGGTCCCGGGTTCAAATTCCGCCAATCACCAATTGATTTTATCCATGTGATAATGCCGCGACCCTCTAGGACTAGCCTGAAGTAATGTGTAAAACAGTTCCGGGCTAGAACCTAGCGTCCAATAATGTGAAGGTGGGGGTCCAATTTAAGTTCTTTGATTTCAATTTCAAAAGCCTTCAATTACATTTAAAAAGTTGCCAAACTCTATGGAGGTTCAGCCACAGACTAGTCGGCGATACAAATAATGACTCTTCGGTAATATCCCTACACTAGGATAGTCAATGGTAATATCCACAGTAGGCCTACTTCGCTAGGAGGAAGTTTAGTAAAATATTACAATGAAAAGTGAGGTTAAAAACTACTTAGATTTCGAAAATAACAAATTCAATTCGTTAAACTAATTAAGAAATTTGTCTTTGAAAGTTAGATAGATTAAGACACCTCTGCTAATATAAAAATGAAGAACTATTATAAACAAACATAATTTTGCGCATACCCAAAGCCAAAATCAGATGACAGCTGACAACAATGGTGTATTGTTGTGTTATCAGTGCAGGCGGTGACGTAATCAAGACAGCTGTAAACTGGACAAGATGTACCAAGTTGGGGAGCAATTTACTGGGAATTACTTTACTGCTATTGTCAGCCAACCATATTATATCACTCGACCTCGCTCAAAAAAATTAATGCCACCATTAATCTCTTAAAGGTTTGGACTAAGATAAAAACTGTAGGTTGAATATAAATTTGGGGTTTATTAGATAAATATAATTAAAACAATACAACTGTAATTATTGGTTTGGATACCAATAAAAAGGTATACCACTACATGAGAAAAATTTCTTCAAGTTGATAACGCTTCCGAAACCTAATACGGTGCGGGCCGTAGACCCTAGTAAATTGAATGCTAATATTGGATCAAGTGAGGGGGGAAAGCACCTAGAGTAAGATGGAATTGAAATCGTATTTTAGTTACATTCCGTTACTTAACTTACGTATTATATATTAAAATATTTTCCCTAATAGACAATAACAATTTAGTTAAGACTTCTTCATTATTTGTAAACATGTAGTTTGATAATGTATATACGCCATCATGAGATTACTTAAGTCGTTTTGAAGGTATACATAATTTAAGACATTTTTAAAATCTATAACGATATATAATAGAGCTCTCATAAAACTCTCAAATTTGGTCAAATTTCACGAAACGTAAAGAAACTAGTCGATTTGGAAACTACACTGACCTGATCGAGTTTTGGTTTCTTAATTTTTGGACAAACATGAAACATAAATCCGAACAAAATAAAATTACTTCTTCAAATACTCTATAATTAAATAATTAAATAACTAAACACTGGATGTTGCAAGTAGAATTCCGATCATAACTCATCCTTTCGCCTTCTATAAAAACTGGGAAAAAATCACACTCCTTAGACTGAACCATTAACCTCTTAGAACATACCAAATAAATAAAAACATTACTTTTATTGTTTACAACCAAAATAAACGGTATCACCATTCTGACACATACGTTCTCCTCTCATATGTTCGTCAACAACCTTTTGGTAAGCGGTAAATATATTTTTAGTTAAAAATCACAAAATTTGCAATAACTTTTGAACCGTAATTGTTACAGCAATGGGGTATTGTACTTTTTTTAGAATTATAAGTGCCATAACATATTTATTTGTATCAAAACCAGCTTTTCTTCAAAAATAAATTTTTTCTTATTTTATGGTGTTTTATGGGGAAATAACATAAGTTACAATAACTTTTGAACCGTAATTTTTACCCAAATGGGAGTCGTACCACACACAGACACACACAAACATCACTTCAAAACTACTTCTTGGGGTCCAGGGGACCCAAAACGGATATATCCATTTAAAACTCAAACTTGAAAATTTTTACGAAAACAATACTTTCTCCATATACTATGTATGGTATAGGGGGAGAAATTAAAAATTATTCCTTTTATTTTTGGTACCATGAGTTTAAAATTGAAACAAAATTGTATAGATCGTGTCAATTAGGATGGCGTGTGTGGGTTTAATGGTGGAAAGGTTCCCAACAACATTGAGAATCACACTATACGCTAGTGTACATTCATTTATAGGTAATTAGTTGACGAGTTGGCCATGCAAAATAAAAGAAGTGACGATGGAAGAAGTGTTATTTCGCACACACGCATCCCACTGGCCAATGTAATTGACAAGATCTACACTGTGCCAGTTTTGGTCCACCCTGGGGTCCATTCCCAGTACCCGCCATGTCTGACGAGCCTTCCCCTATCCGCCACCACGCCACCTGGGGAGGCGCCCGATAAGAGACTAGCAACTCCACACGGGAAAAATATGGTAGACGTGGGCGGAATCATTTCTACAATATTTAACCCTTCTAATGTCAGTTTATAAATTTTAAAAAGTTACAAAGCACGATACCCGTTGTGGTAGGTGGTGCTAACATAG